CTTAGAAGTACGGTTGGGGTAGGGGGTGAGGCGCTGGCAGTGTGCACTTGCAGGCTGGGGGACAGAGGTTGGAAACCCCCATTTCATAGGGGACCTAACGTCACCCCTCAGTACGAACGGGGATGGAAGCCTGTCAAGCAGCTGCTTCGCATGCTCTTCCGCAGCCTCTAGCTTTCGCGCCTTGGTAAGCATGGTCTCCTTCAACTTCTTATCTTGCTCAGCCAGCCTGCCTCTTCCTCGGCGACTTCCTGCCGACTTCAAGACTGATGCGAGAATCATCGCATCTTCGCGCCTGTGCATGCAAGCAGTGACGTGCTCCACAAACGCTTCGATCGCATATGCTTCTGGTAGCTCAAGCTCGCAAGCTCTGGAGGTGTGGTCGATGATGCTTCCTAAAGACTTTCCAGTGGTGAGCAGCAGCAAATTCTGCTTTGCCCTTGCCTGGGCCTTTCAAGCAGTGCTTCCGAGCAGTCAAGCCGTCGAGGAGCGCATCCTTTGTAACGTTGGGGCCGTCCTGGAGCTTCATTGGCTTCAATGCAAATGGCGTCGCCGTCACCATCTTACGACTAAGCATGAAGGAAAGCAAGCCCTGCCTGAAGGCGCTCCAGTTGTCATCGGACTTATCTTCCTGCTCGGCGTCCAAGATGATGACCCCGGCTGTCCTGGTAGCTGCCAATCGGTAGTCTTTGGGAGGCAGGCCGCATGCCTCACGCATGGTTGCTTCCGTCAAGCCCCCATCTCCACCCATAGCTGCGTACTGCTCAATCATCTCCTCACACTCTTTCTTCGTGTGCTCTGCTTCGAACGCATGCTGGAGCTGCAGCCCGGCGGCAACAGCTGCCGACGACCGCAAGAAATCACCGAGGTCAGGGTCTTTCGGGAACACTCCATCCTTTGCAATGTCCGCGTACGCGCTCTCGATGACCTGTGGATCCTCAAACCGGGCCAGGAAACGCCACACAAACCCTCGACGAAGGATGGCATTGAAATCTCTCTTCCCGACATCAGAAAACCTGAACATGCGGTTTGCTTCCAGACGCTTCCACCCCCGTGTGTAGATCATCTTCGTACAGAATCCGTACGGCTTCCTCCCAGCAATGCCATCTGCGCTTGCAAACTTTTTGAACAGATCCTCCCTCAACTTGCGGTTGGTCGCTGGGGCCTCCTGCCCGGTCAGAATAATGCATCCATTTAGTTGCTCCACTTGTTTGCGCATCTCTTCCTCATGATACCAGATATTGGGATCAAAGTACGCGAAATTGTGCCCGTAGAGTGCTTGCAAGTGTGAGCTATACAGGGACTGCCCCACGCCGCCACTGGAAAGGCCAATGAAAAGGCGAGTCACATTCAAGCCTCGCTTGGCCAATGCCTGCGCTGCTTGGCAACACTTGAAAACCTCCACATTGCACCAAAATGTGCAGACGCTCGACAATGTGCTGAGGCACTGTGCCCTTAATGCAATGGGGCACTCGCAAGTAGCAATTCTCTAAGTCTGCGCGAGGAACTTGGAATGCTGGCAGCAATTCGTCATCGTATTTGATTGCGCAGTCCTCGTAGCAGCAGCTTGCTTCTTGCTTCTTCGCTGTGTTGCACCACTCGCTCATGTAATGCAGCAGCTTGTCCTCCGTGATCTCGCGTGTGAGCTGTCGCTTGACAATCATGATGAGCTTCGCAGTAGACAACATCCACGGCTGACTTGCGTCTGCACCCTCCTCTTCCTCAGCACCGCGATTGGCGCGTCGGCTTGGGTCGCCTTGAAAGGCCAAGCAGCAATTCACTGTGGACTCTAGCATAGCAGCTTCATCTCCTGCGAACTCATCAACGATGGATTGAATACCCTCAAGCAGCGAATTCACGGTTCGCTCAGTTCTCCTTGGAAGCTTCCGGAACACACCTTCCACGTGCATCAGGAAGTTCTGCACGCGGCCTTGATCGGGGGGAACTCCTCGATGCTGCTGGAAGGCGCCACTAGGTGTTTTCATATAGCAGTCACCAGAATGAAAGCGGAGTGTGCGGTGCCCCTCGGCGATCCAGTACACCATGGCATGCTCGCGTATGTGGATGTCAGCCTGGCGAGTCCGCGCAAATGCTAGCGCTCCGACGCAAACACGAATCAAGTAATCGCTCATGTTTGCAAATCTGGCCCTGACAGCCTCTGTCCATATTCTTGTGATTTCTAAAATTGTGTCGGAGTTGTCCTGCATTTCTTCAGGGAAGGCTTGAAAGCCAGAGTTCGCTTCACGCAGCTGGCCGAACAGGGCTGCGAAGTCCGTATCAGATGTGGATGCGCCAGGCATCAGGCGTCGTCTTCGAAGCACCTCATAGGCAGATTCTTCCAAGGCTTGCTCCTCGTCAAGCTCGTCCTTCACGGGCTCAGGGTCAGGGTCAGCAGCTGCGATATCAGACGGTGGGGCTGCCGGCTGCAAATCCACTCCACCTCCCGGGGCTGCCGTCTGGCTGCTTGGTCGACTCTGCGACTTCGCTGCAGTTGCACGGCCGCTTGCTCGGGAAGGGGACGTTGGCAGTTGAGAGCAAAGCTCATCATCAGCCGCGTGGCCAACTTGTGGGAAGGCATTGTCATCGTCGCCACTCGCAGCCCCTGCGTCCGACGCACCGCCCAAAACATCAGACTCTGCCATCGCCCTACGCAGATCGCTTGCTTGGTGGCAGACTTCTCGGTGACCTTGAAGCGCTCGCTTGGAGCACAAGAACATTAGCCTTTCAGGCCCTGGCACCTCCCAGAATCCTTCTTCGTCTGCGCCTACAAAACCCAATATCCGGGCTCTGCAAGGCCCGCGCAGAACTACCACAGCTACTGCGCACCCGCGCTCTTTGGTCAGCATGTCCGAGAGGAGCCTAACAATCTCTGTAGGAAGAAGTGCTTGAAGTGGCACCTGCGAGCCCCCAATCGCATCGGTCTGAACTGCCTGCACTTTACTTTGCTGCCATGCCATGATAGCTTCAGCTTCGGCCGTCATGTGTGGCACATGATCAATCCACGGGTGGCCTGCGTGCTCTGGGTGTAAACAAACCACGAACATATCCACCACAACGACGCCATAGTACTTCTCGAGGATCCACTTGTAGATGTTCAGCTGCAAGCGATACTTGATGCCTGCGGCGTCTGGAAGATGCTGTAAAGGAGGGCGCATGCTAGCAAATGTGTTAGAGAACTTGGTCGGCAAGCTCTTCGTTCGCTTCCAGTCAAAAAGCACAATGTGCCCCTTCTCATCCTGAGCAGCAAAGTCTATGGACCCTGCCATGCGCTCCTGTGTGCCCCAGACACACCACTCTGTGCGGTACGCCATCAAGCGACCAGTTGAACCCAAGAAGGATTGAAATGCCTGCATCTCCAAGGATGTGCCCTCTATACTTCCACCATTAAGCACACATTCGCATAGCAGGTGCACCCATGTTCCCGCTGCAGAAGCTGCCTCTCCATTGGCTCGCCACATTTCCTTGATATCGCTTGGGGTCATCAGGAATTGGTTTAGTGCTCCCCGGGTCTCCGTGTTTCCACACTGGAGTTCAGCCCGAAGAGCCTCAGCTGCTTCCTGCTCCGAGCAGGGCGCGCGTAGTTGCGAAACTACGTAGTGCAAATTTGGGCACTTCTTGGCAATGCTTTCCAGCAGGGCATGGTCGTGAAGGTTCTTGAGGTAGCCTGCCCGCGGCCAGTTCGCCCCCCTCATCATTTTGCTGATTACACCATCTGCATCGAACTCCTGACCAGGAAACATCCATATCTCTTTTTCTTTCTCAACTGCAACTATCTCTGTAGTCTCTTACACTGGTCAAGCAACATGTCACGCTGACGAACAAGTTGACAACACGTTTGTCCCAAACGCTGCCTTCCCTGGCGCCAAGCTACAAGTCCAATTTAACCATGACCCGAGAGAACTTCCGTAACGGCTCCCGAGAACCCCCGTTAGTCCTGCGAAAACTTTGCAATCAAGGAAGTCACTGAGCAATCCATTTGTTGTCCATGAACATAGTACTTGTGACCTTCTTCTTCAAATCGAACTGCAGCGTCACGCGGATGGAAATTGCAGGTTTTCAGCCACGAAAACTCAGGCAAGTGCTCAGAGCTGCTGACCTCCTTGGCAGTCGCAGGCAAAATAGGAATACTCTTGTCCAGTGGAAGAAGTGGAATGCGGATTCCCACAGCAGGCTCCTGGTCGCTGCCAAACGTTTGCCAGGTCATGGGTGGCATCGAAACGCTCCACAGCTGCATGAACCTTCGCCTTGCAATTGCTTCTGTCAAGGCCGCTCTGTAGCGAGCTGCTTGCTCCCTGGAAAAGCCTTTGCTTACCAAATCCTCTTCATCTGGCACCTCGTGGATCTTCACGCTGACAGGGGCCGCTCGCTTCCGCTCAAGCGTTCGGGCCCTCGCGTGGCAGATCTGTAGCCACTCTACAGGGTCTACGCGTGAGATGGATGTCCAGCTTGAAAGGTCTGCGCCGCCTTGCACATCGAGCGCCTTGGGCGGCGGGGCCACTCCAGCATTTCCCATCGCAGCGTAGCTGCCATCTGCAGCGCCGCATGCAAGCTTGAACACCCTAGTCCCTTGGCGAAGAATCGTGGGGTTCCATCGTCCGACCTTCCCGACATGCCGCCGGAGCGTTGGCCTCCACATGTAAGAGCCGTCGCCCCACACCTGCAAGCTTGTAAAGTGGTTGTTCCAATGCAGAACGTACTTGCCCACATCAATGTCCTCCACGCTAGCCATTGGCAAAATCTGCATCCTAGGCACTTGTAAGCTGTGACCAACAACAAGCGCTTAAGCAAACACTTACACATTCTGCGCCCGAGCGGCTTGTGCGGCAACAACATGCGATTGCCGTCACGAAGCGCCCAGAAGGGGCCATTGTTTGTGTACTGAAGCGGGACACCGAGGGATCTCAAGGCATCAATCAGGCACACTTCAACCTTGCGCTCTTCAGTGCGATCGCTGCTGCGATCAGCGGTCCTCCGGGGGGCCCAACATGCGGCATGCCAGAGTATCACGAACCATACACTGTAACTCTTACAGTCCTCCGGGTTTCTTCTGCGTCGGAGTTCGCTTGGCGCTGGGCCTTGACACTGCCAAGCAACGCTTGCTCCCTTGCCACCACCTCAGAATACTCCTCCATAAGTGCCATGAAATGCATGTGGTCCTCCCATCGCCTCTTCAACCACTGGCGGCGCAGCTGCAAGATGCTGTGCTTGAGGACGTTGCCCCAGTATGAGCCTTCCCTGCGCCGCTGCCGCTGTCGTTTGCTGAGCAGTTTCCACTCCTCCACGCTCTGCGTTGCGCAAGAGCTGCTGCCGCCCAAGATGTCCTCCAGAATGTGCTCCGGGATGAACTGGACCCCCGTGTCGCGGAGAGTCTCAACATCAACCATGCTGCTGCCAGTCACGATGGCCTCGTCACGCTTGACCCTGTCCTGGGAGCCGATGTAGTACTTGTTCCGCGGCACCTTCGTCCAGGAGACGACGTCCGCCACGGGCAGCTTCGCAGTAGTGACGGTGCGGCGCACAATCGCCCTCACAAGCTTGTCGCCTTAGTAGACACGGGCCAAACTAATAAAGGCTAGAGCTTACTGCAACTCAGCTAAGCAAGCAGAGCAGCTCCATCTGTCCGCGATGAACAAAGCGTCAACGCCTTGCCCCCCCCCCCCAAACAAATAAAGGCTTAGAAGCCCACAACATCACGCGTGTTGCACGCATGTGTTATAAGAGCGTGGCCAGGATCGTACAGACTCGGGCAAGTCGAGAATGACACGAAGCTGCGGCCGACACCACAGTCGACCCCTGGGGAGTCTCACACTGTCTTTGCTTCACCCAGCTTCGTGTCAGACATGCCTTGCTAGCCAAGGCGCAATGCCAGCCCGGCTCGTGCGCCATGTAGCGGGCCCACTCATCCATCAAGCGCGCGCACACGTGGCTACTGAAATATTCACCTTAGACGACCGCTGATGGATGCCCGAACTACACCTGCTCACATTGACAAGTTTAGGCATACAAGTGCGGATGGCGGCACACCAATCGATCCGCCTGGACACGTGCAACTCACGGCTCGTCAGGCTCTCCTGCACACGCTCCACCAGGGGGAGGATGAAGTAATTGCCTTATAGCAGCAATGGTCGTTGGTGAGGCAGGGTAGCCACTCCTGCACAAGCCACATCCAAAGCCAAAGTCACACCAGAAGTCCGGCAGTTCGATGACATCGCCAGCGCCTTAGCGCACATGCTCATGAGTAGAGGAAACTGTGTTCCTATTTTGCCAAGCCACCTGCCATCTTGTCCTCGTTGTTCTCCTGGTCATCCTCCGCCCAGTCGCTCTCCTCAAGCTCTTCACGCTCCTTCACATCAGGATCCTCATCCTCAGCACTGCTCTCGCTCATCACCTCGCTCCCCTCGTGCTCGTCACGGTCGCTCGAGACCATCTCGCCTGTTCAGCACTTGCAGTCACTTGCAGCATTACTGCTACGAACACGGAACGTTGTGTCGGGGTAGCCGGTGCTATTATGATGCCTCTAGATTTGCGGCCTAGCAAGCTCCGCTACCTGTCGCCTCCAAGTCACTCACTCCGTTCTCGGTGATCATATCGTCTGGCCGGCCGAGCTCGCGCTTCCCACATGACAAGCACTGCCCCGGAAAAGCGCCTGACTCGTCATCTTCCATGTCCGCCCAGCTCACGCGTGTGCCAGTGATGCTCCACATCGAGGCCATGGTGCTAGCAAGCTAGGAACTGTGCACAAATTGTTTGACTTAGAAGCCAGAGTGCTGCGCACGGCTAGCATCGCTGCGCACGCGCCAAGTCTTGCTATGCAATCATCAAAGATCGTCAACCCATTGACTCTGCCACTCTGGTCCTGCCCTGCAGCCAGGTAGCCTTCATGTGACACTGCGAGCTCCCAACATCTGAGGAGCAAGACCTAGCCAAACAAATCACCCCCTGGCCAAGCATGGAGCAATCCCTCCAAGCAGCACTTACAATAAGAGAAGATCCGCGCCTCGCCCTGCAAAATCATTGCGGCGCGGGAGCCCTGCGCAGGAGCAAGACTGCGTCACAGCCCTGGGTTACATCCCCTCACGCCTAGCAGACGAAGAGTGCCAGAGCAATCCTACACAGGATCTGGCATGCACGCACAAAGCACATACCCAAACACAACTCTCGCATGCACGCGCGCAACAAAGCAGCAGTACACGCAATTCTTCACTACCCACACACACACGCACATCACCCAACACGACTCTTGCTGGGCGCTCCTAAAACTGCCTTCACATACACCGCGGATCTCTTATCCAGACAAGCGCTTCAAGCGGTCTGGTACCAGTGGTGCCCAGACACCGGCGCAACGCGTTTTTAGCCTTTTCTTTTTTGGATGGGTGGGGGATAGGGCTATAGCAGCCCTAGCCGATGCTTTTTGAGAAGAGAAATTACGCACAAGTCATGTCAAACGAGTTCTCAAATACAAGAAGGGCGCCCTACCCAACTGTTATTTTGAAACCTGCTTTTGCCAACCGAGTGTGTGACAGCTAGCGGCAAATTGCGTGTATTTTCCAACAGTAGAGTAGCTTTGAGTCGGCTCACTAGCACTCTATGCCTCTTCTCAAAAATCAAACGAGGGTTCCGGCCTCAGCGCAGGGAGGCGATGTTTTTACTTTTGCAAGCACGTCATCCGCGCTTGGCGAAAAAAAGAAAAGGGGCTTGAAGCAACTGGCCCGAACCATATTCTGCGAGAAGCCAAACAACACTCACTACATACTCCCTGTCAGAAAATGTATCAAATAAGTAGCACAAACATGTTTACTGCAAATGGCTTCAGCAAATGTAGGCTTCTGCCGAGACTTCTACATTAATCCAAATTAGTTTCGATCATAAGTGTCTATGACACCCGTGTGAGATTTACAAGCTGTCTTCATCTGTGTAGTAACAAAACGGTCAGACACATGTCAATGGAAGTTGACGTGACTGACGATTTGCAACGGGACTCAACAATGAGCCTGTTTGCCGCGGCCACCAGTTAGCCCAAGTGTCGACTCTGCACCCATACCCATTGCGCAGGACGGACAGAAGCGGCTGACATGCCTTGGCTGCCACACGCGACATGCCTAATCACAACAAAGCACAATAAACTAGCTTTGTCACAAAGATTCATTCCAGAAAATGTCCAAGCAATGCGGAGCGGTTTCAAGTTGCTGGCACAGGCCACTGGACTAATCGGGCGAGTCGCTGGCAGAGGAAGCATCTGTGGTGGGCCAATCGGTCGTGTCACCTCAGCTCACAATTTAGGTGATGCCAATGCACCCGCCCGCAAAGTGTGCGTGTGCATTACACACTCGCTTTCATACCCTCCAATGTCGCTATCACTCTGTTGTCCCCGACCCCCGCCCAAGACTGCACCCAAACCGGAGCCAACAAAAATTGGCTAACGTTCACATGGCACAAACGACTGCAGCCTAGGGTCGGCGTTGCAAGATGTCTGCGACCACTCTTCGTAGTTCTTGTACTTCTTGGCGCACAGACGCCTGATTCAATCAATTGCTCTATCTCGCGCTACTGTGGCCTCACACTGTGCATGCAAGAGCAGCACTTCGTGTGACACGAACTTCGCGCGACAACCCAGCGCCTCGGCATACGGCCTCGCAGCTCTGCGCTCGCGTCGTGACATGGCTCACAGCAACATACAGCTGCTTTACAAAAGGCTGCGGCTCGCGCGGGCGACGCACCAACTCGTTAGCACTCCTCCCCTCCAAGCTTGGTGAAAGTGCATGTTGTCAACTAAGGCTGGTGAATGTGCATCTTGTCAACTCAGCCTGGTGAAAGTGAAAGTGTATCTTGTCAACTAAGCCTGGTGAAAGTGCTTCCTGTCAACTAAGCCTGGTGAAAGAGCTTCTTGTCAATTAAGCCTGGTGAAAGTGCATGTTGTCAACTAAGCCTGGTGAAAGTGCGTCTTGACTAGCTTGGCGAAAGTGCATCTTGTCAACTAAGCCTGGTGAAGGTGCATCTTGCGAACTAATTGGAAATCGACATGAGGGGAATCCAAGTTATTGCCAAATGAGACATTTTTGCACAACTCTGGAAATTGTCTTGGGGGCTCTTGGAAGCCGTAGAAACAGCCGGCGCCATCATGCGTGGGCCTCAGGCATCGTACGTAGCTCAAGCATAGAACGAGTGTCTAATGTTCGACTCTCCTAGAATGATAGGCTAGCTTCCCCTGGCTCAGGCACCTCATGTTACCAGTTTGCGTGTCCAAACAGTGAAGATGTAAATAGCTTCCAGCAGGGCATGCATTCTGGTGAACCGAGGGAGAACAATCTTTTGCACCGGTCTTGCATCTAATATGAAGCAGGCGTTCTGTTCATCCCACTACCAGTATGCAAGCCCAATGGGTCTCTGTGGCCAAGTCAATACAGCCGGAGACGAGCTGAGTATACTGATTCACCAACTAACACAAGGGGCTTCCTATAAAAATGCTTTTCAGCATGGGTGATGTCGCAGCGCTTCCAACGTAACATCGTTATAACTGGCCCAACACACCAAGGCAGGCCCTTTTGGCGTGGGAGAGCTCTGAAAGTACGTACTATGCGTTGCTCGCCAAAGACAAGGATACAATGCCCCTAACTCATGCGGAAAGCTCTGCTGCACCAAAGAGCATGCCCTTAAAACATGCACACCATGACACCGGGCGGCACGAAGACCCTGACACCACAACTGCACCCTGTGACACCGGGCGGCGCGAGACCCCTCACAACACGACTGCGCCCTGTGACACCGGGCGGCGCGAAGCCCCTAACACTACAAATGCACCCTGTGACACCGGGCGGCGCGCAGCCCCTTACACTACAAAGTGCACCCTGTGACACCGGGCGGCGCGAAACCCCTCACAACACGACTGCGCCCTGTGACACCGGGCGGCGCGAAACCCCTCACAACACGACTGCGCCCTGTGACACCGGGAGGCGCGAAGCCCCTACCACTACAAACGCACCCTGTGACACGGGCGGCGCGAAGCCCCTAACACTACAAATGCACCCTGTGACACCGGGCGGCGCGAGTATCTGCGCCCTGTGACACCGGGCGGCGCGAAGGCCCTTACACTACAAATGCACCCTGTGACACCGGGCGGCGCGCAGCCCCTTACACTACAAAGTGCGCCCTGTGACACCGGGCGGCGCGAAGCCTCTAACACTACAAATGCACCCTGTGACACCGGGCGGCGCGCAAGTGCACCCTGTGACACCGGGCGGCGCGAATATCTGCGCCCTGTGACACCGGGCGGCGCGAAGACCCTTACACTACAAATGCACCCTGTGACACCGGGCGGCGCGCAGCCCCTTACACTACAAAGTGCGCCCTGTGACACCGGGCGGCGCGAAGCCTCTAACACTACAAATGCACCCTGTGACACCGGGCGGCGCGCAAGTGCACCCTGTGACACCGGGCGGCGCGAATATCTGCGCCCTGTGACACCGGGCGGCGCGAAGACCCTTACACTACAAATGCACCCTGTGACACCGGGCGGCGCGCAGCCCCTTACACTACAAAGTGCGC